CCATCAGATCTCTGGACTCATTGGTCTCCCCCCAAATCGAATGTAAACTCCGTGAGGACAAGCACTTATTTCCTCCTCGATGGTATCCTCAGGCTCTGGCACATCGTATCAGTAAATATTTGTTGAAGGAGTGAATGAATGGAAAATACAGGCATCTGGGATGGGGGCACCTAGTGGATTATCTGTGTGGCAGGGACTTGCTTCCAGAATCCAGCTCTCCCCTGGCCACAGTTGACCCCAGGCTGGGCCACCGAGCTCCTGGGAGTTCCCTGCCGTGTGTCCTATCTGAGTTTTTGTTTACAGGGGCCTGGGAGTTGGGGAAGCCAGGGAGCCAGCAGACAGAGCAGGTGCACAGCGTTGAGGAAGGACTTCTGGGTCCCCTTTGCTCCCTAAGTCCCCACTGAAGGTCCAGCTGCATTTCTGACCTTAAATCCCACGAGCTACCCTGGGAATCCTGTTGCCACTGAAGCCAGTTTGAGTCCTTCCTCGGGCAGGTCTGCTTCAGAAACCCCTGCGGCCCCAGATCCAGAGCTCTGCATCCCTGCACCGCCCAGGCCTAGCGCTCGGGTGGCTGCCTCGGCCTGGGTTCCTTCTGCTGCTAACCTTTCTGGTGCTGCTAACCTTTCTGGTGAGATCCCTGGGTCTGGAGCAGGTTTCTAGATTGGATTGCCCTCTGACCTGGCCACCCTCCAGTGCCCAAGCTGACCAGGTGACCCCTGGGAGCCCTGTCCTCCCTCCCTCTGGAGGAAGCCTGCTCCTGGGCCTGGGCTGAACAGGAACTCCCGGCAGTTCTGTTCCCATTTGAGAAGGGGAATTGCGTCCTAGCTGCAGTGGCCCCGGAGTGGCCATTTCCCCTTTAAATGACTCAAATCGGCAATTCTCAGCCTCTGAGCCTTCCCGAGGACTAGCAGGGAAGCAGTTGGGTAGGATGCCTCCACCCACCCACCCCCCCCCCACCTCCCTTCCAGGGCTGGGCCTCTCGTTAGAGCAGCTCTGTTGTCTATTTTTCGAGACCTTTGTTTTCATTTGAATGAAAGGTCCCGTGGCCGGCAGGTAAATTAGGTAAATTCACACAGGTCACCATAACAGATAGAATAATGGAAAAGTTTGAAATATCGCCAGGATTACCAAACATGTCACTCAGAGACAAGTGAGCAAATGCCTTTGGGGAAATGGCACCGATAGACTTGTTCTAGGCAGGGTTGCCACAAACCTTCAATTCGAAACCAAAAAACACACACAAGCAAATCCGCACCCCCCCCCCTGGCCCCCCACGGATATCTTGTGAAGTGTAACGAGCGAGATGTGCCTGTATAAGGACACACCCACGGGCCTCGGCACCTGTCCTGAGCCCCACCTCGTGCAGAGCACGGGCCACACTCTGGAGAGCTCTGCAGCCCCAGGCCCCAGCCTTTGCCCATGGACTGCTCTCCGCCTGGGCTGCCCGCCCACCCCTCCCCTCCAGCCCACCCCACTGGTTACCTCAAGTGCCACTTCTCCTTGGAAAGTCTCTTGCACCCCTCGCCCACCCGGGGAGGAAGGAGAGCCCCCCCCCCTGGTCGCCACAGGGGGCCTTGACCGCACTGGTGTCATCATGGTCTGTTTACTGGT